GCCCCCAGCCGCCGGCGCGGGGACCCCGGCCCCCACCCCACACCGGCCCGGCACCCTCCCCAGGAGGCCCGGAAGGAGCAGGACCCCCAGCCTCGGCCCGGGCCCGGGAGGGGAGGGGCGAGGAGAGGAGGTCCTGTTCCCCCTCCCCTTCCAAGGAAGCGGTGCGGAGGGGCTCGGCCCCCGCGGGCCCTGAGAGCGGGGTGGGGGGAGCAGCGGGAGGGGTGCACGGAGCGGGGCACACGCCGAGGGGACCCGCCGGGGACGCAGGTGCACCGCACAGGCCCGGCCGGGCACTGCGGAGGGGGCGGGGGGAGGGGCTCAGATGCAGCGCGGCGCGCACACACGCACGCACACGCGTCGCATACACACATACATGTGTACACGCGCCCGCACTCGCACCCGCGCGCGTGTGTACACGCACATGTGCACGCACGCATACAGGCGTGTACATATGCATCCACACTCACACGCGCGAGCACACTAAGCACACGTACACGTGCACACACGTGCCTACACTCGGACACCTTTACGCCACTATACACACGTGCGCGGACATGCACACGCATGCACACACACCGGGAGTGGAGACGGCCAGGCAGGTGTGCGGGACGGGAGGGAAGAAGCTGAGGTCCGTCCCCCCCCCCGCACTCACGCGCGCACACACGCACACACTCGCACACTCAGCTGCTAGAAAAAGTGACTCTCCTCACCCCCCCCCCAGGCCAAGGAGACCCACGGAGAGACAGACAAGAAGCAGATTTGGGGTGCGCGTGGGGGGGGCACCTCCATACTCACCGGGGCCCAGCGCGGAGCGTGTCCGGTGGTCAGCGCCGCTGACCCTCCGGGCGCCCCCCTCCCCAGCCCGGCCCCAGTCCCCACCGGCCAGAACACAGACACGTAGGTTTGGACACATTTAATGGAAGGGTGCTGTGAACAAGGGGACCCTTCCCTGGACTGGGGGTGCGGGGGAGCTGTCATCTTTCTAGACACCGAATCAGGACCTTCCCTCCCCCCCCACGGTCCTTCCCCTGAGGCCCCCAGAGGGGAGGGAGGCACCCCAACATTCCAGACCCCCGGGGGAGGGCGACACGAACACATGCACACCGGGTGCCGGCGCGCTCACAGACCGCTCCCCAAGCCCCGACGTGCGCAGCCAGCCGTCCGACACACGCACGCGCAGCACCGACACGCACGCACCCCTCTGCACGGGGGGGGGGGACCCGGCCCCGGGTCCGAGGCGTATTGACAGCCAAATCCATGGAAAGGCTTTCCAGCCAGCCACACATGCGGACAGAAAGGCAGCCATGCAGGCCCGCGGAGACGCGCCCTCGGCTCGTGCACGCGCACACACCCGCACGCGCGCCCCGCCCCCCGGCGCCCGGCCTGACCCCGGCCCCGCCCCGCCCGCCCCTCTCACCTCCCGGGGCCAATCCCATCCATCAAGCTTCAGAGGCAAATCAGCCAGCAGCCAGGGAGGGGAAAGGTGTCAGTGCGCCCGCCCTCTCCCCGCCCCCCGGCCCAGCCCGGCCCTCCCCATCCTGGGGACCCGCGCCCGCAAGGAGACAGGGGCAGACGGGCAGGACGGACACCAGGACGCTAGCCAGCCGCACCCCCTTGAGCACCCCAGGCCCCATCCAAAGCTGGGCGGACTCAGTGGCTGACAGGGATGGTATGGGTTTTTGGCTGTGCCGTCTGAAGCTAACTCAGCTTCTCCCACCCAGCAGACACCTTCCAACCCGGAGGAGGGTCGCTGTCTAGAGTAGTCTTGCAGTGGGGGCGAGGGGTAGGGGAGGAAGGACACCTGAGGTGTGGGGACATTTACCTTGGGGCATCAAAGCTGTCGTAGGAGCCCACAGTATAGTGCCGGAAGAGTCTCTTGGCCTTGTCACTTCGGCTTTCTGCAAGGGGCAGGGAGGAGAGCAAGGGACACTCTGGGACCCTTACTTTGTAGATCCTCAGCCCATCCCCAGCTCTCCTCCAGTAAGCCTGGTCCCCCATTCCTGTCTGCAGGAGAAAAAGCTGGGCAGCAGTGGGGTTCCCTCACCTTGCTTGCCCTCTTGGGAGCGGTTTGCCACCTCTTCCAGGCAGTCAGAGGGAAACCATCCAATGCGACCTTTGACCTGGCCTTCCCAGAAGCCTCCTTCCCCGATGCTGAGCACTGGAGAGGGAGCAGAAAAAAAAAAAAAAAAGCTCCAGATTTCTGCTTCTCAGCCCCCAACACACTGCCCTCCCACAGTCCAGTCCCAGTGTTTGGTGCAAGGGCGGCCTTCAGAATTCTCCATGGAGGTGGGGAGAGGATGGTGGTAGAGTGGAATCACATCATGGACCCAATGGGGAATTCAAAAGGCCTGGCATAGCAATCTACACCTGTAATCCTAGCTACTTGGGAAGTGGAAATTGGAAGAATCAAGGTTCAAGGCCAGCCTGGGGGGAAAAAAAATTAAGTTCCTCCCCACTGCCCAATCAATAAGCAGAGAATGGTGGGGCAGACCTGTGACCCCAGCCATACAGGAAGCAGAGGTAGAAAGACTAAGGTCAGGCCACCAACACGATGTGAAATCCAGCCAGGTGCCAGTGGCTCACGCCTGTAATCCTAGTCAGGAGGCTGTGATCTGAGGATGGAGTTCAAAGCCAGCCAGGGCAAGAAAGTCTGTGAGATTCCTATCTCCAATTAACCACCAGAAAGCTGTAAGTGGTGCTGTGGTAAAAATGTTAGAACGCTAGCCTTGAGCTGAAGAGCTCAAGGGACAGAGCCCAGGCCCTGAGTTCAAGTCCCATGACCAATAAAAAAAAAAGTGAAATCCTATCTTTAAAAAATACCTAATGTCGGGCTGGGAAGGTGGCTCAGTGGTAGAGCGCATGCCTTGCATGCCAGAGGCCCTGGGTTCGATTCCTCAGCACCACATAAGCAAAAAGAAAAAAAAAGCCAGAAGTGGCACTGTGGCTCAAGTGGTAGAGCGCTAGCCTTGAGCTGAAGAGCTGAGGGACAGTGCCCAGACCTAGAGTTCAGGCCCCATGACCGGACCCAAAAAAAAAAAAAACCCTAATGGGGGCTGGGAAGGTGGTTCAGTGGTAGAGTGCTTGCCTTGCATGCATGAGGCTCTGGGTTCGATTCCTCAGCACCACATAAGCAGAAAAAGCCAGAAGTGGCACTGTGGCTCAAGTGGTAGAGCGCTAGCCTTGAGCTGAAGAGCTGAGGGACAGTGCCCAGGCCTAGAATTCAAGCCCCAGGGCTTGCAAAAAACAAAACAAAACAAAACAACAACAACAAAAACCCTAAGGCATAAAAGGCTGGGTTTGTGATTCAAGTGGTAGAGCACCCAAGTTCAAACCCAGTACTGTCCCCCCCCAGGATCCTCCAAGATAAGGGGCAGGTCTACACTTGGGCTCTGTGGCCTGCGAGCCTCACAGTTAGCACAGGTCTGCCCTCTGCCGGTTCACGCAGATGGACTGGATGGACAGAGGGGGCGGGGCCTCCACACTGGTAAGTGATGACCCGGGAAGCCGGTCCCCTTTTGGTTTGAGCTCAGGGCCTGGCACCTAATAGGCAGGCGCTCTACCACTTGAGCCATCCATGTCCCTTGCCCTTTTGCTTTTACAACCAGAGTGTGTTCTGCTAACGCACAGCGTCCAGGTCAGCAGAGCTTGGAGCTGCAACTACTGGAAGAAACTGAAGAGCTATACATGGATGCTGTGCCTGGGAGAAGGGAGTGAATTAGACAGCAAAGGGGTCCAGAAAGGAAAGGGAGGGAAGGAGGAAGAGGAGAGGGAGGGAGCAAGGGAGGAAGGAGAGGGAGAGACGGAGGAAGAAGGGAGAGGGAGGGAGGAATGGACAGAGAAAGAGCAGGAGGGAGGAAGGGAAGGAGGAAGCAGAGGGAGGGAGGAAGAAGGAGAGGGAGGGAAGGAGGGCATTTTGGAAGAGTTGAAATAGAAAATAACAGAACATTTGAGGAGCAGCCAACAGAATGAACCCCAGAACCCTGCAGGGGGCCCAGTGAGGACACTGGCTTTGGTTCTGAGAGGGAGCTCCCTCACTGACTCCTCACTTTGGGGTGTGGTTCAGTGATTGGGGGTGTGGGCCAGGCCTGGCCTTGGATGCAGGAGGGTGTATAAAGCCAGAGGACTGCCAGGCATAGGTGGCTCATGCCTGGAATCTTAGCTACTCAGGAGGCTGGGATCTGAAGATCCCGGTTCAAAGCTAGTGTAGGCAGAAATGTCTGAGAGACTCACAACTCCAATTGACCAGCACAAAGCTGAGTTGGAAGCATGGCCAGGTGGTAGAGCACTCAGAGCCAAGCAAGACTGCAAGACCCTGAGGGTTTTTTGTTGTTGTTGTTGTTTTTGTTTTTTTTTATTTGGGTCCGGTCGTGGGGTTTGAACTCTGGGCCTGGGCGCTGTCCCTCAGCTCTTCAGCTCAAGGCTAACGCTCTACTACTTGAGCCATAGCGCCACTTCCGGCTTTTTTCTTTTTGCTATGTGGTGCTGAGGAATCGAACCCAGGGCCTCATGCATGCAAGGCATGCGCTCTACCACTGAGCCACCTTCCCAGCCCAAGACCCTGAGTTTTAACTACGGTACTGACTCACAAAGAAAGAGATGACCCAACTCCTGCCACCCCACCAGATCCCTTGGAGGGCATCTACCCCTCAAAGAAAAATGTCAGTTGAGGGTTGCTGGCCAGGCCAGGGGCAGCACCAGAAGCCCTGCTTCTGGCCTGCACAAATGAGCAGGAAAGACCAGGTTTGGACTGGAGTCTGTCCACCTGGATGATGGGTTTGGGGAAACACTTGTGACCCAAATGCCCAGCCCCACAGTTACCTTTGATCTTCTCGCCCTTGCTCAAGGAGATCTCTCCTTCCCCTTGGGCCTGGTAGGATTTCACAGCCATGAAGGACCGGCCAGGCACAGCTGAGTAGAGCTTTCTCCGTCTTCCGCGGCTGCCCAGGGAGCCCCCGGGGCCCCCAGAGCCCCCGGTGCCCCCGGCCGGGCCTTCCCGGGGGGCTCCACTGGAGCTGTATACACAGAGGGTGTGAGAGGCAGGGGGAGTGGAGGGAAGGGGCGCCTTGGGTGGGAGGGAGATGAAGCATCAGCTCTGGGGTCTGGAGTGACAGGGAAGAGGGCATTTGTGGGGGGGCGCCATCTGCCTGTCCATTGCCAATCTGCAGCTCCCCTCTCCGGACTGCACCTCAGCTCCAAGCTGCGTCCCAGCCTCTCTACCCCACCTCATCCATCATCTCCTGGGTCACCTCCAAGTCTCCTGCCAGCTGCCTCCTTATCCCACAGTGGCGCCTGCCCTTCCTGCCCTCTCCCTTCTCTTCCCTCAGTGGCCTCAGTTTCTTCTGCTTTCCCTCCCCAGCTCATCTGCAGGCCTGAGGACAGGGTCAGGAGAGGGGCTCACCCAGAGACAGCCAGGGGCTTGGAGGGCCCTACCACGCTAGGGACACGGGCTGGAGTTGGGGTGTTTCTAAGAAGGGCATCTGGCTGAGGTGAGGGGGCTCAGAGCCCTGCCCTACCTGGGCCGCCCACGAGGCTGCCTCTTAGCTTCTTCGGGGTGCCTTCCTCTGGACGGGGAGCGGGCCCGGGCCCCGCGGGGGCTGCTGGCACTGCGGAGGGTACCGCTGCTGAGCTTGGTGCTGGGGGCTGGGGGCTGGGACTGGTTCTGGGGGCCTGAGGTAGCACCGGGGGCCCCAGAAGACGAGGCTCCCGGGGCCGAGAACACCATCCAGTCTGGCAGTGCCATGCTGGTGTCGCTGTTGGCTCGAAGCAGCGCTGGGGGCACCGTCAGCCCCGCCCCAGGGGTGCCCCGCCGCCGGGCTGCGTACTTGGGGGACTCCTGGAAGGGTACTGGTTGGGGCACATGGGGTGGGGGAGAGACGGAGACAGACAATGAGGAAGAAAAGGAGAATGAGAGACGGAGATGAGAATGAGGGGGACTGGACGCACCCTCCACTCTTCAGGCCTGGGGATTCTAGGTCTCTTCCTCATCCATCCAATCAAGTTCTGACTCTGTGTGTGTGTATGTGTGTGTGTGTGTGTGTGTGTGTGTATTCATCCTGGGGCTTGAACTCAGGGCCTGGTTGCTATCTCTGAGCTTTTTTGCTCAAGGCTGGTGCTCTCCCATTTGAGCCACGCCTCCACCTCTGGCTTTTTGGTCATTGGAAATGAGTCTCATGGATCTTCCTGCCCAGGCTGACTTTAAACCTCAATCCTCAGATCTCAGCCTCCTGAGTCACTAGGCTTACTGGCCCCAGCACCAGTGCTCGGCTCAAGCCTGGACACTAATCCCAACATCAACCTCAGTGACCCCCATGGGCTCCCTAGGTGCCACTCACCCACATCCTGTTCCCGATGGTTGCGAATCAGCTCGCCCAGCTCAAAATTCCCAGCAATCACGGCCACCTGGACGGAGGGGTGCAGCCAGAGGTCCAGGGGGGAGAGACAGGGCAGAAACTTACTGGGGTCTCCCCAACTCAAACCTTCCTTCCAATCTGCCGCCCCCTTTTTGCAGCACTGCTTTGTTGCCTGCTGCCTCATCCAGCCTTTTTTTTTTTTTTTTTGGTCTGTCACAGGGCTTGAACTGAGGGCCTGGGTGCTGTCCTTGAGCTTTATTGCTCAAGGCTAGCACTCCACTACTTTGAGCCACAGTGCACTTCTGTTTTTAGGTGGTAAATTAGAGATAAGAGTCTCAGGCCTTTCCGGCTTGGGCTGGTTTCTTTTTAGTTATTTTCTTTGAGGTACTAGGATCTGGACTCAGGCACTCAACTGCTGAGCTACACCCTGAATCCAGTCCCTGGTTGGCATCTGGACTGTGATTGTCCTGCTAGAATGACAGTGGCCAACCACTGTGCTCAGTTATTGGCTGAAAAGGGATTCTGTGAACTTTTCTGCCCAGGTGGGCCTCAAACCACCATCCTCGCTGACTCAGTCTCCCCACCCAAGCCCGGCTCCCTGAGTCCTCTTTATCGCCGCCCCCACCCCAAGCCTTGTAGCCACTGGCATAGCCACCACTGAGCCCACACCTGGAAAGGAGTCTGTCCATTGTTATTTTTCACATCCTTGTTCGCTCCTCGATAGAGAAGGATCCTGGCACATGTCTCCTGGGGGGGGCGGGGAGACAGAAAACCAAAATCAAGGCTGCTGTGAGTACCTGGCATGCAGGGAACCACCTGGAAACACGAGGAAGAAAAACCACCTTAACCTGCTTCGCTCAGGATGGTGCCACACAAGCATTCTGGTTTTGTCCTGTTTCCTCATTGTGTTGAGACAGGGGCTTTCCATGTAACCCAAACTGTCCTTGAACTCATGATCCTCCTGCCTCAGCCTCCGCTGGGGCTGGGATTACAGGTGTGCATTAATTACCACACTCGGCTCACAAGCACAACACTTGATGGTTAGTCCAAAAGGGTGAAATACACGAGGCTTCAAAGATTTAGTATAGGGAAGAAATTAAATGGTCTAATATTCCATATTTAAGGGAAAAAATTAAGTGATGTGCTATTCTTCCCCCCACCCCAGTCCTGAGGAACTCTGGGCCTGGGTGTTCCTGAGCTTCTTTTGCTCAAGGCCAGCACTCTACCACTTGAGCCACAGTGCCACATCCAACTTTTTTGAGTAGTTTATTGGAGATAAGATTCTCAAAGATTTTCCTGTTAGGGCTGGCTTTCAACTGCAATCCTCAGATCTCTACCTCCTGAGTAGCTAGGATTAAAGGTGTGAGCCACTGGTGCCTGGCTGTAGCATTCCTTGTTTAAGTGATATTTTAGAAATATCAGGTTAAGTAAAATATGCTACTGCAGTGAAAGCCACCAATTCCTCTTTTCGTTAGCCACTAAGAGGACATTTTGGAGCTGAGGCTCGAGTTATATCTTATTAGCCAGAGCTGAACAGAACTAGGGTTTCTGGACCCGAGTCATCTGGGGCTGAGGCTCCTGGGCGAGGAGCTATGGCCCAGATTCTACCACTAGATGGCAGTAGCACCACACTCTGCTCGGTGCATGGGAGGTACTCATTGAATTTGCCCAAAGTTCCCAGAGAGGAAAATGAGTGCCTCTGGTCTCCTAGAAACTTCCAGAACACCTCAAGGTCATGTGGCTGGTGATAAGTAGTGCTCAGACTCAAGCCTAGGACCGTCTCACTCTCTTAGACTCCGAAGAAAGGCCCGGATGCCATCCACATCCATTCCTTACAATGTCACTCATGTCATCAAACTCTTGCCATGACCTGGGAAGTCCTCACCTGAGCTACTTCAGGGGAAGCTCCTCCTGCCCTGGCTCTAGAGGCCTGGCCTCCCCCCTCTGACCCGCCTTGCTCCAGCCCCGGGCTTTTGCACTGTGGTTCCCTCAACACATAGATATCTACTCCCAGATTACTTTCTCACCTCATTAGGGTTTTCTTCAATGTCGCCTCTCCCGAGGCAGCCTCTGTCTACAAAAGAGCCTCGGATACCTACCCTTCCTTCATTGCCAGGTCTCAGGCATTCTTCTAAAGCCAAAATGAGCCTATTTGCCCCAAATTCTACTCTCTATGCCATTTGTCATTTTTGTGTCTCTCCCCACTCACCCCCAAAGTTGATTTTGTTTTTTTGTTTTTTGTTTTTGGTCGGTTGTGGGGCTTGAACTCTGGGCCTGGGCGCTGCCCCTGCACTCTTCAGCTCAAGGCCAGCGCTCTACTGCTTGAGCCACAGCGCCACTTCCAGTTTTCTAGTGGTTTATTAGAGATAAGAGTCTCACAGATCTCAGATCTCAGCCTGCTGAGTAGCTTAGGATGACAGGTGTGAGCCACTGGCACCCAGCTCACCCCAAAGATTTTACAAAAGGGTACACTTTTGGGGGGGCAGCACTAGTTCGAATTCAGAGCCTCACACTTTCGTCCAGGCTGGCCTGTGATTCTCCTATTTATGCTTCCTTCCATAGCTAGAATGACAGACACACCTGACACCACAGCCAGCTTCTTTCTTTGAGATGGGATCTCATGAACTTCACTCCTCCAGGAATGGCCTGGAATCTCAATCCTCCTTCACAGCTAGCAAGATAGCCATGCTCCACCATATTCAGGTATTTGTTGAGATGAGGTCTTAAGACAGCTTTGGGGCCAGGCTGGCCTCAAACTGTGATCCTCCCAGTATCAGCCTCCGGAGTAGCTAGGATGACAGGCATGAGCCACCACGACTGGCTAGTGGATAGGGATTTTTAAAAGCATCTTTCTTTCCTTTGTCTCAGCCTGTCAAAACCCAGGCCAAGCCCCAGTTCATCGCCACTTGTGCCCCTCTGTGCCAAGTCACAAATGCTTTCTCATCTCAGCCCTTCACAGCATGTCCTCTGAGGCCTCTTGGACAGGGCAAGCTCAGAGAGGGCAGTCCCAGGCTCCAGGCCACACAGCAGTTAGTAGAATAGTCAGTATTCCAACTGACCTTCTGGCCCTGGTGTTCATCTGTGTCCACGTGATGGCCAAGGTGACCATACAGCGAGAGACTCCAGCTAGTGTGGTGGGTGTTCTGTGGGAGTGCGCATGCGTTCACTATAGCCATATGCGTTTTCACATGTTTGTGTCTGCCCGGGGTCCCACTGAGAGCTGTGGGCCCTATCCCTGGCTCCCATCCATGGGGTTGTCATCCTGCCCTGACCACTTTTAGATGTCACAGACTCCGTGGCTCCCCCTACCGGGCATATAAAGAGCCTGACATTTACTTGGAACTAGAGGGCATCTCACAGGGTGGCACACATTTGTTCACACAAGCGTGAGCCTCCCCGGCCCTCTCTTCCTGGTCCGAGCCCCATCTCGGATCCCTCTCCTATCCCCAGCACCTGGTGCCAGGCACAGGGAGGTGCTCAGCAAATGTGCACGGAACAAGGATGAGGCTGGGGGATGTAGAGCTGTCAATCGAACTTCATCTGCTCGAGTCATTCATTTATTCATGTGTTGAGTCATTCGATCTGTGGAAACAAGCCACCACCTGTTTTGAGTTCTGAGCCAGTACATAGTCCTGGTAGAAATCCAAGATGGCTGACCCATGATTCGTTCATTCGTTCATTCACTCACTCACTCACTCCCCAGAGATGCAGCTAGGCCTACTATGTGCAAAGGGGCCTTGGGACAGAGCGGTCCATCAGAGCCAGCCCTCAGGAGCTCACAGCCTCGACATGGACCTGACCTCCACCACCAGGGCTGGATGGGAATGCCAAGATTAGAGAGTGTGGGAAAATAGCCAGACCTAGTCCTGGCCCTTGGGAACAAAGACAAGGAGATAGAGCGCTAGCCTTGAGCTGGAGCTGAGAGACAGCACTTAGGCCAGAGTTCAGGCCCCACGACAGACCAAAAAAAAACAGAAAAAAAGAAAGCCAGGCACCACTGGCTCACACCTGTAATCCTAGCTACTCAGGAGGCTGAGATCTGAGGATAGCGGTTCAAAGCAAGCCCGGGCAGGAAAGTCCGTGAAACTCTTATCTCCAATAAACCACCAGAAAACCGGAAGTGGCGCTGTGGTTCAAGTGGTAGAGCGCTAGCCTTGAGTTGAAGAGCTGAGGGACAGCACCTAGGCCCAGAGTTCAAGCCCCATGACCAACAAAAAAAAAAAAGAAAAGAAACATAGGAAGATAACAGACCAAGATATCCTGAATAAAATGACTATACCCTATCTGAAAAATAACTAAAGCAAAAAACAAAGCACAATAAAATGAAAAAAACCTCAATGGACTGGAAGTATGGTTCAAGTGGTAGAGCATATGCCTAGAATGAATGATGCCCTGAGTTCAATCCCCAGAACCATCTGAAGAATGGAAAATAACCTCCCATTTGTGGACATCTGCTTGGTTATTAGCATGCGGGAGCAAGCAGCACCTAAGTCCCCTGGATCCTCGTCCATGGTGGGTGCTACTGTCATCTTTGTCCTAAATTGTCCCTGCTCAAATGAATAAGTCTCCCGACCAGATCCGGAGTGGCACGGGTAGCAACATTAATACTAACAATTATTATGATCAGAGCTGTCATGAATACAGGATGAATACTGGATCCCCAGATCAACATGCTGAGGGGGCGTGGCTTGCGGGGCCCTAGTCTGTAGGAAGGGGGGGAGTCCTTCCTACTCCACTACACACCCTCCCTCCCACCCCACCCCCACAATCTGGACTCGAGAAACCATTTTACCTTCAAGGGAAAGAAGCAGGGAGGGGACGTGTAGGCCCCGCATGGATTTGGTTTGATAAACACCGAGTCCTCCCTGGCCGATGCCACTGGGCCACACCGGGCCACCTGCCAAATCCCCGGCACAGCAAGTGCTCGCTCACAAGGCAGAAGGAGGTTTTGGAAGACTTCCTGGAGGAAGTGGCTGGCAGACCAGCAGCCTCACAGCAGGTTCCCATCTCCCGGCATCCCCACATTCAAGGGCAGCGAACTGGCAGGGGGTGGTCATGGTAGGAGCTGGGATGCTGGTAGCTCATACCTAGGATCTTAGCTATTCAAGAGGCCACAAATGTGGCTCAGTGGTAGTGTGCTTACCTTGCATGCAGGAAGCCCTGTGCTCCATTCCTCAGCACTACATAAACATAAAAAGTCAGAAGTGACGATGTGGCTCAAGTACTAGAGTGCTAGCTTTGAGCAAAAGAAGCCCAGGGACAGTGCCCAGGCCCTGAGTTCAAGCCCCAGGACTGGCCAAAAAAAAAATCATAAGGCTGAGATCAGAGGGATCACAGTTCAAGGCTAGTTCCAGCAAAAAAAGATGAGATCTTCCATCCATCCATCTATCCATCCATCCATCCATCCATCCATCCATCCATTCCTCCATGCATTATGTGAGACTGTCCACTATGTGAGACTTCAGCTCAACAGAGAATGCTGGGCATGGTGGTGTGCACCTGTTACTCAGCTATGATAGGAAGCATAAAGAGTAAGATTATTATAGTATGAGACCCTACTATCTCAACAATAATCACAGTGAAAAGGGCTGTGGGTGTGAGGTAGTAGAGTGCCTGCTTAGCAATCACCAAGTACTGAGTTCAAATCTCCCCCTTCTAAATATATATATATACATATATATATATATGTATATGTGTATATATATATATATAAGCAAAAGAAGCAGGAAGCAGCAGCTTCTAGGAGCACTGCTGGGGAGGAGAGGCGCTGGGGCTCAAGCTGTCACCATGAACACTCCAGCTGCCTTTCCCAGAGAGTCCTACGTGGGGTCCATCCACCAGCCTGGAAAGAGCAGGACCCTATGATCCCTGTCAGGAGCTGCTTCTGGATCTTTCCTCTGTCCCCACTTTGCCATCACAGCTGGCTGAGTGCAGATGTCCAGCAAGTGAAGGCCCACATAGACCCCTTTCCACTTCCTGTCATGCCCCCTCCTCCCGCCTATTTTGTGCAGGCCAAGCCCTCTGCCTGCAGCATCCTCCCTCCCCTCTTCTGTCTGGCTGACTCTTGATGTCATAATAATCTGACTGGAGCCTCTCCCGAAAGCCACCTCCACCAGGCCCACGTCCAGATAGCACTCCCTTGGGACCTCACTCTGAGCACTCCAGGTCATAACATCAGGGGGTGTCCCCTAGCAACCAACTCCAGGCCTGATTCAGGAACTTAGGAAGGAACTTGGGGAACATTTGTTGAATAGATGGCTGGTTGGCTGGCTGGTTGATAAGTAGATGGAAAGCTATAAAGATGGATGGAGAATCAGATGAGTAGATGGATGGGTGGATGGATGGATGGGTGAATCGGTGAATGGATGAGTGGATGGATGGGTGAATGGATGGGTGTGTGGGGCAGATGAATGGGTGGATGGATGGGTGAATGGATGGGTGAATGGGGTAGATGAATGGGTGGATGAATGGGTGAATAGATGGGTAGATAGATAGGTGAATGGATGAGTGATGAATGGATTAATGGATGAGTGGATGGATAGGTAAATGGATGAGTAGATGGATGGGTGAATGGGTAGATGGATGAGTGGATGCATGGGTGAATGGATGAGTGGATAAATGAGTGGGTGTGTGGATAAATAGGTGAATGGATGGGTGAATGGGTGGATGGATGAGTGGATGGATGGGTGAATGGATGGGTGGATAGATGAGTGGGTGTGTGGATAAATAGGTGAATGGATGGGTGAATGGGTGGATGGATGAGTGGATGGATGGGTGAATGGATGGGTGGATAGATGAGTGGGTGTGTGGATAAATAGGTGAATGGATGGGTGAATGGGTGGATGGATGAGTGGATGGATGGGTGAATGGATGGGTGGGTGTGTGGATAAATAGGTGAATGGATGGGTGAATGGGTGGGTGGATGAGTGGGTGGATGGGTGAATGGATGGGTGGATAGATAGGTGAATGGGTGGAGGAATGATGGTGAATGGATGGGTGGATAGATGAGTGGGTGTGTGGGTGGACAAGTGAATGGATGGGTGAATGAATGAATGGATGGGTGGATAAAGGGTGAAAGCATCGGAGAAGCAGTTGTGCACATCTGGGAGGCTGGAATGGAGAGGGTCTGAGGCAGGCATCAGTGCGGGGAAGGTGGCTGAGGTGGCTGAGGTGTGAGGGGCTGCCAGGGCAAACCTTGTTGTAGAGAGCGCAGATGTGCAGGGCCGTGTTCCCCGAGGCATTCTGGGCTCCGGGCTCAGCCCCGTAGAAAAGCAGGTGCTCCAGGTGCTGAGAGTGACCTCGCTGGCAGGCCTGGGGGATGGGGGAAGACAGGAAGCACAAGGGCTCGATCAGACTCATTCTGAATCCCTCCAGGCTCCTCCCTGTTCTTTGGGGCCATGAGCCCTCCCATTCACCTTCTCTTCACCTTCACCTCTCATTCCTGCTTAGGGACCTACGATGTCAGCTTTACAAGTACAAATGCTCCTTTGAAGGCCAGAGGGTCCAGTCTGAGCCCTCATGAGGGACAAGAGGGCAGTCCTTGGGACCCATTGTGGGTCTCAAGCTGTCCCGTCTTTTGGCCCGTGCCCCTCCCCAAATACTCTTGGTGTGCATCCATGCTCCTGACTTTCCCTCCCCTCTATCCTCACTCACCCCACACAAGAATCCTAGCCCTTGTGTCATATCCCAGCCTCCTGGAAGCACCAAGGCTCCGTTTCCCTCCCAAACATCCCCTCCCACCCCAGCCTCAAGCACCTGGTGGATTTCCTGCCAGCCGTTCTCGTCAGCTACGCCCAGCTGGGCCCTGTTGTACAGAAGCAGCTCGCAGCAACGGGGGTCACCCCCTACCATGGCCGTGTGGAACAGAGGGGTCAGTCCTCGACGGTCCTTGTAGTTGGGGGACCCCCCAAGGTCCAGGAGCGCCTAAGAAAGGAGGCAGACCCGGAGAGGAAGGACAGTCACAGGAGGTTCTGTAGGACTAGCAGGGAGGTGGCCTCCAGTCACCCACACCGCCAGTGCCATCTCAGCTCTGCCATCCAGCAGATGCACCTGCTCCCACCATAAATGAGCCACTGGAAGACACCCGTGGCCAATGTGGCAGTGCCACTCCATACCCTCTAGAGGATGCTTATTGGGGGACCAATGTGAGAATGCAAAACACGAGGGATCTACCAGGGCCCCTGGCCAAATGGAAAATTGTTCTAAAACAAAGTATCCTAAAAATGGGTCTAGAAAACAAGTCAAGCAAGGACAGGGCAGGCCCTGAACCAGCCTCACAGGGACTAGGGTCTGGGGAGCAGGATACAATTCCAACCTAAGCTTTGGATGTGGAAGAACAAGCACCCTCAAGTGTTCCAAGGAGAAAGTGCTTGCAGCCAGCCTGCCCCACAAGCAGGGGAGCAGCCAATGGTCTTCAATAGCACCATCCAATATGGCGCCCACATGGGGGCCATGAGCATCTGAATGGGGCTTGTGAGCCCGAGGAACTGACCACTTAATTTTGCTTTATCTTCATTAATTTAAATGTAAACAGCCTTGTGTGGCCAGTGGCTAATGGAATGAAAAGTGAAGGTTTGGAGTGTGTGTGTGTGTGTGTGTGTGTGTGTGTGTGTGTGTGGTGTGTGTGTGTGTGGTGTTCCTGAGGAAAGACAAGGTGCCTCTGGGAGCTGGAAGAGAGGAAAAGCCTTTAAAATAATTTTTTTTATGCTGGTCCTGGGGCTTGAATTCAGGGCTGGGATGCTGTCCTTGAGCTTTATTGCTTAAGGCTCTTACTCTACCACTTGAGCCACAGCTCCACTTTTTGCTGGTTAATTGGAGATAAGAGCCTTAGAGACTTTCCTGCCCAAGCTGACATCAAATTGGGATCCTCAGATCACAGCCTCCTGAGTAGCTAGGATTACAGGTGTAAGCCACCGGTGCCCGGCTTCGGGAAGAACCTTTCAAACTAGGTCTATACAACATGACCCTGTGTCATATTTCAGTGGGGGTAGGGTTTGGATCTACCCAGGTTGGGTGAGGTATGACCCACTGATGGTCACGTGTGTCCCCACGCAGAGCCTGAGAAAGGTCTCTAATTCAGTCAGAAGAGTGACAACTGAAAGAGGTACCCAGGACACAAAGAAGGACTGTTTTTAACATATAAGGAAGGAAGGAAGAAAGAAAGAAAGGAATGTGGATGTTGACAGAAAAGCAAGAGAAAAGGAGAGAAGGTCCCAGGAGTGCTGAGGGCACCCCGGTGACTCACCGTGAGAGCAAGGCAGTGCCGGGCACAGGCAGCCTTGTGTAGAGCTGTCATTCCATCCCGAGCCCGGAAGTCGATGTGGGCCCCGCCCAAGCACAGAGTTCGAATCACCTCTACAGAGCCTTCCGTCTGGGCGGCCAACGTCAAAGGCGTCTCTGGGGGTGAAAAAGGCCATCCATCACAGGCAGTTCCCACTCCCTGCGCTTCCCACTCCCCAGCTCTGAAGGTTTTTCTGTTTCGTTTTGAAGACAAGAGTTTCACTAACTTTGCCCAGGTTGTTTTTGAACTTGAGATCCTCCTGCCTTTGCCTCCCACATAGCTGCGATTACAGGCTTGCACCACCGAGTCTGACGCCTGCTCTCCTCCAGCGTGTGGAGGACCTCCTCCCTACCTCCTGAGTCCGAGTCATGGTAGTTGGGGTCCAGCCCCTTGTCCAGCAGCCGTGCCACCTTGTCGGATGTCCCAAGCTGCACATACTCCAGGAACTTCTTCAATCCGGTCTGGGGAAGGAGGAAGAGGGGAAGCTGCTCAGAGATCAGAAACAGCGCCACCCAGTGGAAGACAGAGCCAGCCACAGAGAACACCAAAAAGTTTCCAGCAGCCACCTCTAAAGGAAAAAGGAAGCTGTGTGTGGTGGTGCATCCTTAGAATCCCAGCCCTCAGGAAGCTGATGAAAGATTTCAAATTTGAGACAAGCCTAAGCCACATAATAAGATTCTGTCTCAGAAAAAGAAGGCCGGGCACAAGTGGTTCACACCTGTATTCTCAGCTACTCAGGTGGCTGAGATCTGAGGATCAGGGTGCAAAGCAGCCTGGACAGGAAAATCTGTGAGCTTTGCATCTCCAACGAACCACCCAAAAACCGGAACTGGAGCTGTGGCTCAAGTAAGAGAGCAGTAACTAGCCTTGAGTGGAAAAAGTTTAGGAATAGCACCCAGGTGCCAAGTTCACAAGTGCAAGCCCCAGGACAGACAGACAGGCACAGTCAGAGAGACAGACAAACAGACTGACAGACAGAGAGACAGACAAACAGACACACACACACACACACACACACACACAGAGGAACCATCTATTGTACTGGAATTGAACAGCTGAAACTGTTCTTGGATTAATAAATCCACGCTATTACTATTCCAACAGATGAAAGCTATACTGTTATTTTACTAGAATGCCTCCTGTCCAGATCAGCCATGTCCCAGATGGCCAGTGGCCCCCTAGGACCTTTCAGGATGGCAGGGGAAGAAGAGCCAAGGGAACTGAGGAAGGAGTGAGATGTATGGTGTGGGGTGCTAGGGTCCCAAGAATTCTCCTCTTGAGCTAGGCGTGGTGACTCACACCTGTAATCCTAACTACTCAGGAGGCTAAGATCTGAGGATCGAGGTTCAAAGCCAGCCCAGGCAGGAAAGTCTGTGAAACTCTTATCTCCAATAAGCCACCAGAAAACCAGAAGTGGTGCTATGGCTCAAGTGGTAAAGTGCTCGCCTTGAGCTGAAGGCTGAGGGACAGCGCTCAGGCCCTGAGTTAAAGCCCCACAACCGACAAAAAAAAAAAAAAACAAAAAACAAAAACCTAGAAAATTTCCCTCTCTAAGCCACAGCAGCCCCTTCACATCCTCCAGGTGATCAGGGGAGACTGGGGGAGATTTGGCATAAGGACTGGAGAAAATATGTAGGTGATCCTTGGACTTGGTACATCCAGGTGAGCTCAGAGGATGGTGGAGGAAGGAAATAGCTTCCATTGGACATTGGGGCCCTGCCCACACTGAGGGTTGCTGTGGAGAGCAGGGAGGTGCCAGGGTAGGCATGGAGGGGGGAAGGGGAGAGGGGGTGGTTCCATGCCAGCAGGTTTTTCTCACCTTTGTGTGCAACTTGGCCAGCTGCTTCTCATCCAAATTGGTCTGTTTGTAAACTCTCGTCTTGTATCGGAACTGAGGCATGGAGGAGAGACCAAGATTGGGAACTGGGGTCTTGACTGGAAGTGTCGGGGTGGGGGTGATGGTGGAAGAGGTGGCCTCTGACCTCTGACCTCTTCCTTATCCCCAGGGTAGGGCAGGACTGGTGTGCCAATAGCCCTGGTAGGTTGGCTGGGCGGCTGGGCAGAGACTGACTTTTCTGAGAGCCAGGCCTACCTTGAAGGCTAAAGGTGTCTGGCTCCTGCAGGGAGTCAGGGACACCTTCCCCAACTCACAGACAAGAAGGGGAGAGGGGGACAAGGACTTTCCGAAGGCCACCCAGGGAGTCAGAGGGGGAGAATGATTTGAAATCAGGCCTTGTTCTGGGCCTCTCTTGCTGGAGAGTCTTAGGAGAGCACATGAAAGTGTGGGGTGTGCTTATTTTGGGGCATGCCTTTTTGTGTTGTTGGGAAAAAGGTTGGGGAGATGGAGGTCTCACCTCCAGGTAGGGTACCCCCTTCTCAAAAGACTGGGGGTACTCCCTCAATAGCCTCTCCTCCTCCAGGAAGTTGGCATCGCGGCCGGAGGTGGCAGGCTGGAAAAGGCCATAGTTCAGCACGTCCTGGAGACTCTCACTCAGCGCACACAGCACCTGCTGCTTAGCGGCCCAGATGGTGGCGTCGGGGTTGAAACGCAGGCATTTCTGGAGGAAGAGAGGGACAGACAGGAGGACTCAGGTAAGTCAGGGGTCCCAGGTGGGCTGGAAAGGCATTTCTGGAAATGGGGGCCTTCCCCGGAAGTGGCTTCCCACCAGCTGGGGGCTTCGTCCCCACCTCTGCCAGACGGTGGGTGGGTGGTCAACTCACGGTCTGGTGCAGGTCTGGGATGCCAATCCGAAAAACCATCATGCTGAAGTGGGTGTCGTCGGGCACAGACATGGACCGGCCCTGGAGGCCTCGGGCTGAGGCCAGGCTACCAGGTGCTCCGCTGCCCCGGCCCCGGGTCCCCCGGGGGCCTCGACCTGGCCCGTCGGGGGAGCTGTCGGACTCCGAGCCCCCCTCGAGATACTCGTTGACACTGTGGGGTTCCTCGTCCTCGCTTGTCGCGGGGCTGTGGGTCATCGTGGGGCCACGGGGCGGTGGGGGGCGGCAGCATCACAGGTGACTGCAGGGGACCAGGAGTGAGCATCAGGCTCGGATCCCTCCGGGGGCCACCAGCACCCCTCAGTGGACAATCAGTCCGGCACAGGCAGGGAGGAGGCTGGGCATGCGCTCCAGACCTGCCGGCCTCCCACCTCCACCACACCGGCCCACACCAGGCCCTTTCCCTGCCTCGCCTACTTCTGGCACCTGTCTCCTCCCTGCCCTTGGCCCTGCTTGCAGCCCCCCACCCCCCTGCGCCCCACTTTGTGTGGCCGTGTCCCAGAAACCGCAGAATCACCGCGGGAGCTAGTGGCCCACTTTGTGAGGTCGCAGAAAATGGAGCTAAAATTAGCTTCGGGACAGACAGGTGGACCCACTGGTACCCACCCTCCCGGCCCCACCCTGGCCCCCTGTGCTCCTGCCCAGGCTGACTGAGTCCCATAGTAAGGGGCGGGGGTGGGGGGTGGGGAGGGAGATGGCAGTGCCCTGATGGGTGACTTCACCAAAGCAAGGCCTTCCCCGGGGGAGCGAGGGTGCCACCTGAGGGCGCCCCAGGGCAGGGCATCTTGCAGGCTGTCCCTAAGGGGACAGCAAGAGGTTACTGGGGCATCTGAACCAGGTTGGCAGTGGTGAGCAGCAGCCCCCCGGGGTGCGAGCCAGGCTGGGGGAGGAGGGCCTGGGTGGTGGGGTGCAGGTGTCTGTGATGACCTGTGGGCGTGTTCCAGGACAGGCATGGTGGGAGGGGTGGGCCGGCATCCGAGGAGCGGGCAGGGGCGGGGGAAGGCTTGGCTGCCAAGGAAGGTAGGAAGTGGGGCTGGGGATCATCTCCTGGGTCCCCACTGTGCCTTCCGAGGGCAGGTCCCTTCCAAATGGTGTGGGGGGTAGAACTGCCTCTCCCAAACACCCCCCAACTCCCACCCCAGCACCGGAAACCAGAATGTCTGGTCTGGTCCCTCCCTCCCCCCCCACACCAGGCCCGGCTCCCGCACGGTTGCCATGGAGATGAGAAGCAGTGGAGGGTACTGCCGACTTTGGGGATGGGGGGGCTGAAGCAAGGAAGAGAAAATGTGTGTGGAAGCAGACTTCCAAGAACTGTGGGCGAGAGGGCACCTAGACCCCAGCCGGGGCCCTCCCCCCCCCGCGCCGAGGCCCCGCCCCCGGGGGGGACCCCGGCCCGGTCCAGCTCCCCCCTTCATCCCTCTGGCCCCCTCCCCCGGAGCCGCGGCCACTCCCCCCTCGGCTGACCCCGGCTGACCTCCGGCCACACAG